ACTAGTACTAGTAGCAGTAGTAGTAGTCGTCGTGGTAGCAGTAGTAGCAGTAGTAGTAGTAGTAGTAGTAGTAGTAGTAATAGTACTACTACTACTACTACTAGTAGTAGTAGTAGTAGTAGTAGTAGGAGTAGTAGGTAGGTAGGACCAGGTAGGAGCAGCAGCAGCACGAGTAGTAGTCGTAGTAGTAGGTGGTCGTCGTTGTAGCAGCGGTAGGCAGCAAGAGCAGCGGCAGCAACAGTAGTAGGAGGGCCAGGGTCACTCCTCCGTGAGCAGGAGCAGGAGCTGCAGAAGCAAATGCAACAGGGCAAAGGGACGATGCCACATCCAGCCGCGGAACCCACGGAAGTTAACCCTGCCCTACAATTCTAAATCAACCAGGCGAGGATCTACTGGCGTTACTGTGCAGGCCGGCGGACATGCCGGTGGAGGGTTTGAGGCGTGAGGCGCAGGGTATCTGCGGAGTTACACCTCAAGTTCCAAAGCTAGCATTTAGGGTTTAGGGTTTAGGGTTTAGGGTTTAGGGTTTAGGGTTTAGGGCAGATCCTAACCGGCACATGCTACAATAGTCTCTAAATGTCGGGGACCTTCTCTGAAACATCTGGATAATCTATCCTGCTGGAGCAGAAAAGGACCCTTGTTTTCGAAAATGTTTACTGTAGGGGCCTTCATAATTAGAATAATTAGAATAGAGTTCTGTGGTATATTATACTAAAATTATAATAAGGAAGCCCCAAAACAGTATTGGTAACTATTCAAGCCCCTGTATTATCTATCATCCGGCTCTTTGGCGCCTTAAACCCAAAGGTGGGATCCCGAACCCCCCAAAACCCTAAACCCCTAAACGCTAAACCCTAAACTCAAACGCCTAAACCCTAAACCCCTAACCCTCCCAAACACTCAAACCCCTAAACCCTAAACCCTAAACCCCTAAACCCTAAACCCAACACCCCTAACCCTAAACCCTTAAACTCAAACGCCTAAACCCTAAACCCAACACCCCCTTAAACCCTAAACTCAACAAACCCTTGAACTCCTAAACTCCCTGAGCCTTGAAACGCCGCGGCCCCCTGAGCCCGACACGCAGAGGCTGGCGTTGTTTGGCAGACCCAACCTGGGAGTTTTCGAAAATTAGGGTTAAGGGTTTAGGGTTTAGGGGTTTAGGGTTTAGGGTTTTGGGTTTTGGGGTCCATATAATAAGGATCCTCCTATTTAGTCTTGCATTGCCGCTAGACTCGCCGGCACGAAGCCTCGGCTGAGG